GATTTTACAAATAAATAAAATACAAACTTTAAATGAAAAAATATAAACTTAAACCAAACACATACTAAATTGGGTTTTTACATATTGGGCCAGTGCCACCGTCCTTGTAGCGGTGGTCATGGGCCGGGACACGCCCGGACAAGGATGATAAGAGGTTTAGTTAACTAGGTCTGGGCCCAGCCTAGTCTGCATACTGGGCAGTCTCAKTTAGGTCATAGACTCATAGGTGGGTCATGAGTTAAACCGAGTTCAAATCGTCTACGGTTTTCTACTTCTACTCGTACAGTCGTACTCTCGTAGAAACTAGAAAGTGTAACCGGCTAGCTAGGGCTTACTTGGCACCGCTTTAGTGGCAAACGGAAAGTAGATCGAACATCGAAGCAAGCTCTCACACTGAAAACAGCCAAGAGAGAGCAACGGAGGCTAGCTCCCAAAATCCAGTAAACAGAATTACCGAACCACCTGGAGCTGCAGATCTGTTCTTCAATACAATTATCATCTCAACTCTCTCATTCTATCGTGTCTAAAACCCTAAATTTGCAGATGGCAGACGTATCGGACGCCGCCGGCGATCGGAAAGCACCCAAGCTTCCGATCGAAGGCCATAGAAACATTCTGATTACCAGTGCCCTTCCTTACGTCAACAACGTTCCTCATCTTGGAAATATCATTGGATGTAATTCTCTGCTTCTCTCTATGCAATTTGCATTATCGGTTGAAACTACTCTCCTTGTTATGCAAGTTACAGTTTTCTGCTTGTTCTCTCTCTCTCTCTCTCTTACTTTTTCTCTAATTGGGGCACTTGTAGATTTTCTCTCCTTTCTTTTGATTCTTTTAGCTTCATCCTCTTGTAATCTAGCGCTTGGCAATGGAACAAATTAACTGATCAATATTGTTTTTTCAGGCGTTTTGAGTGCGGATGTCTTTGCTCGGTACTGCCGTCTCCGTGGCTATAATGCCATATATATATGCGGGACCGACGAGTATGGAACGGCGACTGAGACGAAAGCCATGGAAGAGAACTGCACTCCTCAGCAGATTTGTGACAAGTAAGTGCTTTTATTATTTCAAGGCAATTCTACTTGAGCTATTACGCTATCTTTGGTTAAAATTTTGTTCCAAAAGGGATCATTATTCGAAGAACGATTTTCACGCAAAAAAAAAAAGATTCGTTTTTGAAGTTAATTTTTTAGCTTCAACGAAGCAGTTCTTAGAATCACAAATCACCAGAATTAATTCTCTGAAAGCATGTCAAGCGCAGTTTTTTTTTTTTTTTTTCCAATTTGGCTAGTTTTTTTTTTCAAGGTAAAGTTGACGAAAAAAATTTTAGATTGGAACATTTTTAGCTTTATTTTCATTCCTTTTACAATGAAAGCGTTGTTTGCCTTGCCATTTACATTAAAACAAATTAGAGGTGGTGTATAACAAAGTTTTCCCTATGGGCTCCTTTTTTTATCAGGTAAAATGGATGCCGAACTATCCAGGCTGAAATGTTTGAGCATAATTTTCAAATTGTCTAGGCAATAAGAATTTTAGAATATATGGAAAAAATAGCAATTCCCTTTATTAAGAACATTAAAGTTCCTCTTAAAACGTGGCAAATCATCATATCTAAAAGATAAAAATGGTTTAAATAAATWAATTTCAATATTTTCAAAAATAATTACTGATATAAGTATTTTATACAGAAATTTCACATCAATTAGCAATTAAAGAAGGCTATAATTTTATATGATAAAATTTTAGTGCAGAAAGTAAAAGAGAAAACAAGGATGTAGTTGCTGTTTTATTTAAGGAAATAAAAACAAAGAAACCTGTTTATTTTTCTATTCCTTCTTTCTTTTTCTTTTCTCAGTATAATAGAATGATTTAATACAAATATTAGTAAGAAAAAGAAGTATTAATGATATTATAAYGTGCACATGCTTAGTCTCCTAGACTGGTGCCTTGCTGCTATAAGTTAAGGTGTTGAGGCAAAGTGCTTGGCCAGAGGTGCCTTTGCCTAGGTGACACCTTGACAACTATGCATTTGTGTTTCATTCCTTGCAATTTGTTTTGGTGTAAATGTTAAGTGAAACAACATTTCCTTTGTAAAAGGGATGAAGATTTAGCTCAAATATTTAGCCTGAAAAACTTTTATGCCCATTTCACATAGAAATAAATGCAGCCATAAAAGAGTGGTGGGATTTATGGCTAAAACATTTCAGTGAAAAATTTTATATCCATTTTATGGAGAAACAAATGGAGCATCGACAGCAATCTGGGCAATTTAATGTGAATCCATGTTGAGCTTGTCTGCTAGATTGCAGATTAAGTTATCTTACTTTGAATTTCAAAGTCAAGGATTTCAAACTACTCACTAAATTGGAGATAATGCACAAGACTTCAGACCTATATGATTGAGTAATGGTACAATGCACATTTTCAATTTCACTACATAATTTAAAACATCTCAGCATGGTAGCAGCTCCTCCTCTTTTTTTTTTGATCATCAAAGGAGAATTTTATTTGAAATTAAAGTTAAAAAGTTTTACAACTTTGTGTATGGGACTAGGAGTCCCAGACTATTACATGTTTCTGTCCCTTTTTACATTGCAGTCCAAAACAATTGTTGCCTCAAAGTCCCTTGTTTAGCAAGATAATCAACTAGCCCATTTGCACTCCTTCTAACCCATTTGAATTCTGCCTTTACCTCCCTTGCAACCTTTTTCACTTTCTTTATCACTTGTTTGAAAGTCCACAAAGTAGTTCTATTGTTTTTAGCCCAAGAGATGATCACCTTGGGATCCCCTTCAACCTCAATATGCCTCATTCCTAGTTGTTTGGCTATCTTCAATCCTTGTAGCAATGCCATTAATTCAGCTTTTAGAGAGTTGCCCATGCCAATAGGTCCAGAGTATAATGCTAATATTCTCCTTTCAGAATTTCTGATTACTCCCCCGATACTTGACAATCCCGGATTTCCAAATGAGCTTTCATCAAAATTCAGTTTAGTTCTGTTACCATCTGGAGGTTTCCATTCCATCCTYACTCTCTCTTTCACTCTTGAAGATTGCGCTACTTTTGTCCAGGATCTTATAATGTCTGTGACTGAGAAATCTTGAAAAATATGCAAAGATSTTACCCAATGAGCTACTTTAATTTTGRTTGTGTCAATTACYTCCTCCATTGTTCTACTCTTATCCAAGAATATTCTGTTGTTCCTTTCTTCCCATACCACCCAACAAATAGCTGCCTTTGTAGCTTTCCACATAACCTTCCCTCTTTTCTTTGATTGCCCCAAAAAGTCTTGGTTAAAAAGTTCTGCCACATCTTGAGGGGAAACCAACCTGCAACCAAAGAGAAGACAAAAAGATTCACAAATATGATGCATAAAGGAACGAGATAATAATAGATGTATCAAGGTCTCACCACTTTCCTTACAAAGGGAGCACATGTGAGGAGAAAGGCAAGCAAAAGGCCTTCTTTTCTGCAGCATATCACAAGTATTAACCTTGCCAAGGAAAATTTCCCAACAAAAGGCTTGAATTTTTRGGGGGATAGGCTTACTCCAAATTTCTTTTAYAGGGAAGTCCCCAACCAGGTTGCTAGGTGTGGCAAGAACATTAAAGAAAGAGGAACAAGAGAAGAGGCCATCTGAGGAGCCTTTCCAAATTCTAGAATCTTCCATGGATGGGTCCAAATGAACTTGTCCTATTAGATCCAACAATTGAATTAAAGAGGCACATTCATTTTCCTTGAGGCTCCTCTTGAAACCCAGATTCCAATTGACCCCATTTGGGCCAGGATTACCCAAAATGCTTACTGTTTCCCATTTGAAGTTTGACAAAGTGTATAGGTCAGGGAAGAGGTCATTGAGTGGACTATTTCCCACCCAAAGGTCTTCCCAGAAACAAATTTTATTACCCTGGCCCACATCAAACCGAATGGAATTAAGGAATGTTGGGTAAATTTCATAAATTGCTTTCCAAGGAGAAGATGAGGAAACATGAGGGGCAACTTTTGTATCCCAACCGTTTCCATCCAAACCATGAATACTCACAATGACTTTGTGCCACAACCTATCTCTCTCAAATGGGAATCTCCACAACCATTTTCCTAGTAGAGCTGAGTTCCTAAGTGAAATATTTCCTATTCCCAAACCCTCTTTATCCTTAGGCTTTCTAACTTGATCCCAATTAATCAGGTGAGCCTTCCTCTCCTCACCTGGGTCCCAAAGGAAATCTCTCATGTATTTTTCTAACCTCCTTTCTACTTTATAGGGTATTCTAAAGGTTGAGAGGGAGTAAATAGGGAGGTTTGCCAACGTGGCTCTAATCAATGTTATCTTTCCACCAAGAGAGATATAATTCCTCTACAGAGCTAATTTCCTAGCAAATCTTTCAATGACTAGCTTCCAAAAACCTGCTGAYCTAGGGTTACCACCTAAAGGTAACCCCAAGTAGCTAATTGGCCAACTTCTAATCTCRCACCCCAAAATCTCTACAAATCTATTAAGTTCCCCTTCCTCTAGATCGATCCCTACAATGCCTGTTTTGGYCCAATTTATCCTTAAACCTGTCATCCCCACAAAGTTATCCAATAGCAGCTTTAGATTAACCACACCTTCCTTGTTACCTCCCTCACAAAAGAAGATTGTGTCATCTGCAAATTGAAGGTGTGTAACAACCTCTTGATTTCTACCTATCCTCCACCCTCTAAACAAACCTTGGAAGTCGGCTTTCGCCACCATTCTGCTTAACACCTCAGCCACTAAAGTGAAGAGAAAAGGGGATAAGGGGTCTCCTTGCCTAATTCCTCTCTCAGTCGGAAAGAAATCCTTCRCTGCTCCATTAATAAGAATTGAATAATGGACAGAACTTAGACATCCTCTAATCCAAGATCTCCACTTGGTTCCAAAGCCCAACCTTTCTAACACTTGGAGTAGCACTTCCTAGTTAACCATATCATAGGCTTTCTCTAGGTCCACCTTACACACCAACCCTTTTCCTCTATCCTTTCTTTTTTCTGCAACACACTCATTGGCTACTCAAATTTGATCCACAATCTGCCTACCTTCCACAAAGGCACCTTGGAATGGTGAAATGATCGATGGAAGCACTTTTTTGATCATTTCTGAGAGAACCTTTGCAATAATTTTATATAAACTCCCAACAAGACTAATTGGCCTATAGTCTTTAGGGGTTTTGGCCTCCCCCCTCTTCGGGATTAAAGTGATAAAAGTGGCATTCACCCCTCGAGGCACCTCTCCTTTGAGAAAGAATTCATTGAACACTTCCAGAATATCAGTTTTCAGTCAAAAGGGCCATTGAAAATCCATCCGGCCCGGGGGCTTTTTGATCTTTCCATGGAGAAGGTTGCATTCTTTAAAGTGAATTTCCTCTCCAAGGACAAAGACTGTTCTTCTGAGTGCCTATCCCCTTCCATTTCTGGTAGCTCTGTTGTCACCCCACTTGAGCTTGTGAAGATTTCTTTGAAATAATTAACAAAGATCCTTGTGATCTCCTGACTCTCTCTTACTTCTTGACCCCCCWCCTCCACACTAAAGATTACAATTTTCTTTCTCCTTCCATTTGCAATTGCATGGAAAAACTTAGTATTTAGTATTAAATTTTTCTTATTTGTTCTTTTATTTATTATTTTTGAAAATGTGTTTCTTCTCCATGTAGATACCATGCCATTCATAGAGAGGTATATAAATGGTTTGACATAAGTTTTGATGAGTTTGGGCGAACATCTACTCCCCAGCAGACTGAAGTTTGCCAAGCAATTTTCAAGAAGCTTTTGGAGAACAATTGGCTCTCAGAAAACACCATGCAGCAGGTCAATACTCATATTTGTGCTTTAGATATTTTTGCAACTTAACGTGTTTGTAGAAATTAGTGCTGTGCTTCTTATCTTTGTTTTGGAGGTAGGATTTATTTTTTTATGAATTGACTTTCTTTTTGACTAAATTTCGTGATAAATAGTTTTGGCTCTTAATTAAACTTATATTTTTTTATTGTAAAACAGCTGTATTGTGATACATGCAAACGTTTCTTAGCTGACCGGTTTGTGGAGGGTATCTGCCCCACACCAGCTTGTAACTATGAATCTGCACGAGGTGATCAGTGTGAAAAGTGTGGCAAGATGTTGAATCCAACGGAACTAAAGGATCCTAGATGCAAGGTATTTTATATAATCTTTATTAATTGGGGCGCCATCTATTTAATTAAAACTATTTTTTGGTGATATTAATTGAAGCTAATTGTTGATGATAGAATCACTAGAAATTAAGGAGTATATTTTGAAGCTAAGGAGTATATATTTATGTCTTGCATTTCTTTTATTTTACTGGAATTTGTTTTGTGTACAGCTCTGTCAGACAACACCACGCATTCGTGATACAGACCACTTGTTTCTAGAGCTCCCACTACTAAAGGATAAATTGGAAGAGTATATTAATAAAATGTCAGTGGCTGGATCATGGAGCCAGAATGCTGTTCAAGCTACACATGCTTGGCTGAAAGAAGGACTAAAACAACGCTGTATTACAAGGGATCTTAAGTGGGGGGTTCCTGTTCCACATGAGAAATTTAAAGATAAGGTATGCTAGATTGATGCAGTTTATATTTGTGTTTGTGTTTACATGTATACAATGTGCATAAATACATRGAAACCGTAGGAGATTCTCAAACTATAATCAAACAGATGCAATCTCAATTGGTCTTTGAGTCACATAATTAGAGAGGCTAAGTTCTTAGCCACCAGACTGAATAACTTGTTCAGGTGGGCACAAAGGTTAGCCAACATGCTAGCTGATATGCTAGCTTGCCATGGAGTTACAATGTAAGAATTCCATTAGGGTGTACCAGAAGTCAGTGGATCCTCTTGGAAGAGTGGCAGATTGAGGGAAAAAAAGGAAAGTGTACTGGTCAACTATCTCATTAGCAATCCTGTGGGCTATATGGTATGAGAGAAGTAATAAAATTTTTGAACAGAAATCTACATCTGAAGTAGAGGTGATCAATCTAGTGGTTGGAAGAGATTGACTGTCTATTCATAATATATTTAAGATGATATATACTTACATACATACATACATACATATATATCTATATATATTGTTTCGAATACTGCTACAGTAGTCCGAACCAGGAAGAGAAGGAAGGAGAAGAGGAAGAAGAAGAGAAGAAGAAGAAAAAAAATAAGGGTCTGTCTAAATCTGTTGGATTACCCCTACAGTCRACCCCCTTAATCTTCATTAGATTCTAATCATCTTTACAAAGACAAAAATGCCCTTACTTAAGTGTGGGGCAGAGTGACTCTAAGAACACTGCCACATAAGCAAGCTACTTAACAAGCATAAGAAGACTAAACTACCCCTATTCGGCACACTTTAACATATATATATTTTTGAAGATATATATTTGTTTCTTTTTTGTGGTTGGGCTTTTTTGGAGGTTCTTGTATGGTTCACACATGTGGTTGGGATCAGTATTGGATGAAAGAGAGGTGTCAGAGTGTGCAACATTTTGGGTTGTGAAGTATCCTAGTGGCCAATGAATTATTTGGGATTACCCTTGGGAGGAAACCTGAGAAATSWGACATTCTGGAAGACTGAACCTGGTGGTGGACAAGTTTACACAAAGATTAGCCTCATGGAAGAGGAAGTATCATTCAACAGGTGGAAGAATAGCATTGATCAAATCAACTTTGGTCAATTTGCCTGTCTACCTTCTATCAGTTTTGAAGATTCTTGTGAGGATTTGTAGAAGTCTATAGAAGTTAATGGGGGGAGGAAAGGAAGGACCATAGGGTTAGGTGAGAATTGGTAAGTAGAAGCAAGGAATTTGGTGGCTTAGGGATTGGGAACATCTGAAAGAGGAATATGGCTTTGTAAGGAAAATGGTTGTGGAGATTACCGATGGATAAGGATAAATTGTGGACAAAATTTTTAAGCCTCAATGGGCTGGCCGCTGATGGCTGGAATGCAGGAGTTTTGGCTTGAGCAACTAGTGCGGTGCCTTGGAAATCTATTCATGCCATCCTTCTGTATTTCCTACCCTTTGTTGGGTATAACTTGTGCTCTGGGAATTTGGTAAGGTTTTGGGAACATGTGTGGGTGGGGGATTTACTGCTTAAAGATTTCACCAATAATTTCCCTCTCCAACTACAAAAATGAGCTTGTTTCCACTTTTTTATCCTCTTTTGATCTAGGGCTTGATCTTGATTGGGACTTGGGGTTTAGATGGGGATTCAAACAATCAGATGTGGACAACTTTTTGGTTTTGATTCAAATTCTTCAAAAGGTTTTCTTGGATCCTGCTAAGTTGGGTTCTTGGATTTGGACCCTCTCCTCTTCTGGTTCCTATACCTGTGCCTCCTCCTTCAAGTCCTAATACAACCTTCTTCAAGGCCTGGGCATTCTTTCCTTATTAAAGAAGTGTGGGAGAAACCGGTCCCGCCAAGTGTTGGGGCAATGCGCTGGGAAATAGTCTTGTTGTACTCTTTGTAAAGCCAATGGCGAGTCTTGTTACCACTTATTAATCTCCTACCCCTTTGTTTCTTCTATTTGGGTTTGGTTTTTCTTTCTGTTTGGCTGCAGGTGGACTCCCCTACCAAATCTACAAAGCCTCTTTTACTCTTCTGCTGGTAGCTGGACAAAGAAGAGGGGAAAAAAAAWTTGTGGAGATGTACAAGACTAGCGGTTTTCTGGACAATTTGGGAGGAAAGAAACCAAAAAAATATTTGCCAAAGAGGAGAGAAGCAGAGAGGCAATGATAGAAGTATCACTTCTAGGGTGGTTCATTGGGTAAAAACAGTGGAGATATTTAATGACATTCACATAGGGACTTCACTGAATAATTGGCAGGAAGTGGCGGCCTCAGCTCCAAGCAGAAGTATTGTTCACCCTCTATGGTCTCTGCCTTGTGCAGGTTTCGTCAAGCTAAACTTTGATGGCAGCAGTGAAGGACCCTGGGCCTTCAAGGATTGGTGGAGATTTTAGATCAGAGGAAGGTTCAGTCGTAGCTCTGTTTTCTAGCCCAATTGGTATTGTGGAATCATTGAGAGTAGAAGTTTTGGTTTGGTGCAGGGTGTGAAAAGGGCCAAGGAACTATGTTAATAGGCTGATCATTGAAGGAGACTCCAAAGTGGTAATAGGATGGTTAGGGAAGGAAGATGATAGCATGTTGACATACATCAATGAATGAAGACATTCGAGTGATTGACTCAGGATATGGAGGTGAGACTGCAGTGGGTAAAAAGATGTGCCAATTTATTTTGCAGATGCACTTTGCTATACAAGGGGTGGGAAGAAAATCATTTGCTTTGGGATACTTTCTAATTTTGTATCTCTCTGGGGGAGAGTTAAGAGAGTTTACCTCTCCCCACCATTGTACTTGATAGAATTTGTTTTGATGATCAATCTATGTATATTGGTTGCATAATTGCGTCCTCTTCTATTAATGTTTAAAAATATTTTTACAATTGTATACTCATACCACATAAATTGAGTGCTCTTACTCCAAATAATGGCAGGTTTTCTATGTGTGGTTTGATGCGCCCATTGGATATGTTTCAATTTCTAAATGCTATACCAATGAGTGGGAGAAATGGTGGAAGAATCCTGAAAATGTGGAGCTGTATCAATTTATGGGAAAGGATAATGTGCCATTTCATACTGTAAGCATGCATTGGTCTAATCTTTTGTACTTTTATTTATTACATTAAGAAGAGGTGGCTAAAGCAGTAAAGCCATGTAGTTTGGTATTTTTAGTGCCTCATTTTTGTTCCTGCCTTTATTGTGCTTATCTGTTTTGTATTTTTCTGTTTCAATATTGGTTACAATATGCCTATCTGTTCCATTTCCCTTGAATCCTGGTGAATGGGGATTTTGCCATATTGGGTAAGCCAGTTGATTACAATATGCCTATCTGTTCCATTTCCCTCTCAGATCCATTTACTTCAATCTAAATGCATTCTATTATTTGTATGTTTAAATTCTAGTCCATTTTGTAGTGATTTGCTTTCCAGATTGGTTTTGCTGCTGTAAATTCTTAGTGGAAACATGCAAAGTGAAACAACTAAATAAAGGGGGCAGATAGGCTGCTCTGTTTGATTACTGATGCCTTGCCTTTCAGTGGTTTGAAGTCATTTGGGATGCACTGGGACCATCTATATGATTATTGATGCCCTGTTCATTGGTTTTGAATTGGGGATGTCCATTACTCCTTTCCTCCTGGTCCCTACCTTCTGCTTCCCTTCCCCCTCTCTCATGGACTTGGATGTTGGATCCAGTGTTTTTCCTCTATAGACCTGCACAAACTAGGTTTGAGCTTGTGAGTTATAAGTCAACATTACTAATTAGGGATTATGTATCATGCAAGCATTGGGTTGTGGGCTTATAAAAGGACCTTAATTGTCTAATCAAAGGGTGAAACATATTCCTGATGCAAGCAGACCATTTAAAACTTAGGGAACAGTTAGAATATAACTGGTTTGGTTGATTTTTGGGGTTAAAAACAAAATACAGCATTGCAGTGTACTGCAATATCAAAAAAAGAAGAAAGGACATATAATATCCACCATTATTGGCTTGACAATTATAATTACATAGCCAGATGCACTTTTGGGTCTATGGTTTAAAAGTAGCTGCAACAAACATTCATGAGTCAGTGGGCTCTATGGTGAGTTGCATGTTATTGTCCATGGTGTAGAGGGAATAGTCTCTATGCATCCAGTGTATATTACCTATCTTGTCCTGATGGTGATTTGGTACTTGGTTGCCATTGCTATAATTCTTCTTACATTTATAACTGGTTGCTCATTTTTAACTCAATATATCAGTGAATGTGGACAGACACTCTTTCTTAAATCCTTTCTCTTATGAATTGACACAGACCATATAAACTGTTGCTGTAAGCTTGTTAGCTTTCTTATCTTTATGATTAATGCTATGAAATTTAACCTATCTTAACAATATGCYGGTTTTTTTTATGTACTATTTTCAGGTAATGTTCCCTTCTACACTTCTTGGAACTGGTGAAAACTGGACATTAATGAAAACAATCAGTGTTACCGAATACTTAAACTATGAAGCAGGTATTTCTAAACCTTTTTTTGTGCTTTTTCCAGTGTGTAAAGGTTTCCTCATTAATTTACTTGATGGTTGAAGAGTGCCTGAAAATTTTCAGTGGTGTGATATTATGATGTTTTGGTACCAAAATATTTTTAAATAAGGTGTTTTTTGTTGAGCTTTATTTTGCTTGCATATGCAGGAAAGTTCTCCAAAAGCAAGGGAGTGGGAGTTTTTGGTAATGATGCAAAAGATACAAACATTCCTGTAGAAGTATGGCGGTATTACTTACTAACAAATAGGCCAGAGGTGAGTCTTTTCCACAATATCTACTTCGATAGGGTCGTAGGGACTGCAATCAGGTTTTATTTATTGATTTTCATACTTCTGTCTTTGTGATTTTCTTAAGATTTAATGTGATATAGGTTTCAGACACATTGTTTACCTGGGTTGACCTGCAAGCGAAACTCAACAGTGAATTGCTAAACAATTTGGGCAATTTTATAAATCGAGTGTTGAGCTTCGTCGCCAAGCCTCAAGGTAATTCAAATGTATGCTTATGGAAGGATAATGACAATGCTCTAAGATATGCAACTGATATAAAAATGCTTCAAGGATAAGCACAACTCAACTTGTGTTCTGTTTTACAAAAAGAGGAAAAAATCCAAATGTAGCTGGGAATTCTAAGACAATCTGAATGAAGTGTAATTTTCTTTTCCTTTTATGAAAATTTTTCTTTAAAGTTCAGTTTTCTAAGTCAAATATCATTGTTTTATAGTAGAGTGAAAATTTATTAAAAGAAAATATATAGAAAAGATACTCTATCTGCCTATGGACAATGTATGATGCCTATGCAGCCAGGAAGCTTAAACAGTGCAACACCTATTTTATCCATTGCAGCTTGCCCTACTCAACCTGGGAARCTTCCTTTAAATGTTATGCCAATTGCCAATTGGGTAACTCCCAAAGACTTCCAAATTCTGATGCCCTTGTTCTTATGTGTTTTTTGTTGTTCTTTTCATAAGAACAATAATTCAGTAGACGGGTAATTTGTTATGCTGAAATTTATTGTTCTTGTGCTGCATTACTTTATGTCCCAATTCAACCCTCAGTCTAGTAATAGTTACCTCCTAGTAGTCATCCAAACTAGTATGTGCAGCATCTTTACTATCTTTAATCCTTTTATATTAAAGAATTACTACTACTGACATCTAGAATGATGTCAAGGTTACCTTGGTCCTAGATTGGAAGTGAATACCCTTTGTACATTCTCCACATTGCCTAAAGACCTATCCCTGCCAAATCATAGCCACTGACCT